ATTCCTAGTATTCCCTTATAATGTAGATTTATATAATGCTATGAAAAAATTAATGTACAATAATTGTACAATAGAAAAAGATTTATATTTAAAAATCAATTTATTTGATTTTAATACTTTTATTATATAGAATGTTAATTCATCAAGAAAATATATTCATTATAACTCCAACTAATAGATAAAAAGAGAGCATAGCAAATCTGTGTGCAATATAAACAGCTATAATATTTTATATTCATATGTTGATCTTCTATATATATTTCCTCTTATATTTATATTTTATACATTCCATTATAAATTCCATTATAATAAAAGAAAAAACAAATTATGAAAAAAAGTAGATTTCATTTAATAAATGGTTATAATTTTCTATTTTATTATTGTTAAATTGTAAAATAAGAAATTTAATACATGATTTAATAATGTAATTTTATCCACATGTCATTATCGTTTTTTATAATTAAATAATATTTAAAAATAATATGTAATAATAAAATATTCTAAATATACAAATATATTTTATTCTTTCTACTTTTCTTTTTTCGAGTATTTAAAATTCCGGATATTGCAACATATTGATTGCAACTATATTCCCTTTCTCCTTTTCAAGGAAACTAGAAATCATATTTCTCAACTCTATTCGATTAATACTTTCAATTCTTTATTTAAAAGCATAAATTTAGAATCAAAAATGTTCTTTGGATTATATAGAATTTTTAAGTTTCTTGAATTAATATTTTTTTTAGTTTTAATGATCTATGAAATCTTTTAACTTTATATCTTTTTAATTTCATTATTTATAATTTTTCAAAAAAATTAAAACATTTGATCTAAAAATCAAAAACAAATATCGACATTCTATAATTAATTTAAATAATTTTTCAGTCTATAGAGTGGCGAAAACAATGGGAAGTTGACAAATTAACTAAATGGGATCCTCCTAAAATTTTAAAAGATTATCTACCTCATGGTTTATGTGGTTTTGACAAAGATGGGGCACCAGGCATGTATAAATTTTTTTTATTTATTAATTCTTGATAATGAGATAAATATGTTAAGTTTCTTATCAAAAGTTTTTAATCAAATTAAAGAAACAATTCTTAGAAATATTATTAATTATTCTAAGAAATTCTGGTATCTTTACAGTTATTGTTATATATTTCGATGCGCTTGATCTTTATGGTATTTTGCACGTGGTCTCACGTATGGATATGATAAAAATGACGATAAAATGTCTTGAAGAATATTTAATGTTGTGTAGAGAACAAATGTTAAAACATGGTCCTTTGGCTGGTCAGGTAGTTGTAATATTTGATATGCAGGGATTCAATTTGAGACAATATCTTTGGAGACCAGGTAAAATTTATATGCATTATGTAATCCATCATTATTACATAAATTTTTTATGGTACATTAATTTGATTTTTGAAAATATTTTTATAAGAAATCTTTTTGATTCATTATATGCGCATGATCTATAAAAACAAAGTATTGAGTAATGAAATTCTTATATAAGAAGTAGTATTTTGTATCCTAAATTTCTAAAATAATAGTGATATAATTTTTATTAAATTGAAGTTTTTTTTCATATTATATATTCCAGTTAATAGTCTTTTTGTCAAAAAAATAAAATTTGAAGTTTTTATAATAGTTTAATAATTTTATTTTTCAGCTGGAGAAGTTGTAATTACCTTAATCCAAATGTATGAGGCTAATTACCCGGAGATTTTGAAGACTTGTTATATCATTAATGGTATACTTTATATTCAATATATATAATTATATATAGTTATATGATATAATCAATTATTAATATAATTATACATTTTTATAGCTCCGAAAGTATTTGCTTTTGCGTTTTCCGTAGCGAAAAAGTTCATGAATGAATATACTCTGTCGAAGATTCAAATATTTAAAGCAGATCCTTCTAAATGGCAAGCAGCGATATTTAATAACATTTCAAAAGATCAAGTACCTGCTTTCTTTGGAGGTACTCTTAAGGATCCTGATAACAATCCAAAACTTGGAACAAAGGTGAAGAAATGAAAGAAAAAAATTTACATCATTTCTAAAGTTTAAATAAATTTTTGTTAACTATATAAAAATACAAGAATATTTATCAGAAATGACTTATTAAAATGAAATTTTAGTTGATATTCAATAACTAAACTCTTACAGATTGAATTTATTTATTTAAACTTTATATATAACTTTTTATATTTATATTAGAAAGAAGAAGTTATAAGAAATTGTAAAGAAGAGAATCAATATTAATATTATATCAATTATATAATACATATAATTTTATATATAGTATATATAATTTTTAATTAAAATTTCTGTTTATGTTCAGATTTGTCTCGGTGGCAAGGTTCCTCAAGAAATGTATGTGACTAATGATAGTAAAGAGAACTTTACAACAGTCACAATTAAGAAAGGTGGAAAATTGGAACTTAATATGACAGCACTCGAAACAGGATCTTTATTAAGGTATAAATAAATTTATAAATTAATTATGAGAATTTCGTATTTATTAATTGTGGATGATTATAGTTGGGAATTTCGAACCGAGAATCATGATATTAAATTTGGTATTGTAAAGAAAGATAATAATGGAATGCAAAAGGAAGTGATACCTATGCGACGAGTAGCTGCTCATCAATTAGATGAAATTGGAATTTTGACTTGTGAAGTACCTTCTACGTGTGAGTATATATCGCGTTTTAATCGAAAAAATATCAAAAATACTTTATTTATAATTTTATCTATTTTAGATTCTATTGTTTTTGATAACACTTATAGTATTATGAGAAATAAAAAAATTCATTATTCTGTGAAAGTTATACCACCAACACAATCGCAAGAAATAATATCAGCAACTTTATAAATAAAAAATAATAATAAATACATATCAAAAAATATTTTTTGATAAATACATTTCATAGAATATTATTGATATTCGAAAAAAATTATATTTTTGTTACTTTTATTTTTTCTTTTTTATTTGTATTATATTTAATTGCAAATACTAAAAATTTAATAGTATTTTTTATAGATTTTATAAAAATGAATTATTATTAAAAATAATTTATTTAATTTTATATATAAATTTATGAATGTTGAATTTTTCATTATAAAAACTATTTTTATTTTATCTATGTTATAATTGTATTATTATGTATAAAAAAATGTAGAAAATTTGACTACAATATATATTAATAAAAATTAATATTGTAGAAAACTTCAAATTCATTCTTTATAGACTTACACAATTATTCATTTTGGATATCCATATCATCATGTAGAATTGAACTATTTAATCATCTTCATCAGCAAGTAACATTTCAATTAGATCAAGTTTTAAACATTGATTTCCTTCCAAACGTTTTTGTGTACCCCATTTTGCTAAAGTAGGTAGAACTTTTAATTTTGTAACTGAGTTTGCTCGAAATGGACAATTTAAATCTTTCCAACTAAAAGAAGAAAATATTTTATAAATTCATTATTTTTCATAATATGTTAACATGATATATAAAACATTTGATTTATATATATATATTGATATATAAAATATTTACTATGGCCGATCTCCAACTTCAACTTCAATTAAATGTGCTGATGTAGGAGCTATTTTAAATCCTTCTTCTATAAAAGGTTCAGCTATAACAAAGATATAATTTTTTTTATTCTCATATATACATATTGTTGATTTATTCACAAGAATATTTTGAAACACTAAAATATATTTTAATTTTTATTATAATTATATAAAAATATACATATGATAAATAGTTACTAATTCTAAATTATTTTATACAAAAATCTGCTAAGTTACATATGAATTTATGTTATGTATGAAAATATATAGTTTAGGTTATGTATGAAATAAATGACGACGATCGAAAGATTGTACCTTCAACACAGTCTGGACACCAACTTTTGCCGTTAGGAAGTTTTTTTCCAGTATAAAGTATGTAAATTGATTCATTAGATTTAAAATTTTTCATAAATTCGAAAAAATTTTCGAATCCTTCAACGTGGTGACGTAAAACCATTTTCTATGAACAATTCTCTTTGAACAATAAGTACAATGATATTAAAATTTTACGATTTTTTTTTATTACATGATATATTAGTATGCAATAGTCTCTTATCAACTGTAAAAAGGTGACACCTATGCGAGATATTTTTGGTTGATATCGAGGTGATAAGTAGTAGAATTTCTGATTAATTGAGCTGAATATAAAAATTTTAATTAATAAAGCTAATTTAATATTATAAATAAAATATTGTAATAAAATACAATTTACAAAAAGATTTTATTATATTTGAGATATACTTGAAATATTAATATTAATTAAATATTTATTTAATAA